ATAGCTACACTGTCGCTACAGTGTTTTCAGTGTAATCGTTGTGCTGCGTGGCAGTCCCCGACGCAATCGGGGAAGACTCCCCTATTCGACCGACCAATCAGCATCACCGGACGCAGTCGGCGATAGCATGCGCCGATTGTATCGAAACCAAGCTTTATGCTGATTAGTCGGTCGAATCGGACAGCCTTCCCGATTGCTCGGGGGGATTACTACGCAGTACTACGACTGCACTGTAGCGCCAGTGTAGCGATTTAGAGAAAACCAGGCTTAAGTTTGATTCACACTACCTCTTCAAACGCAAACGCGAACTCCAGGTGATTGACGCAAACGAAAGCGTCACTTTTCACATGATTCCACCTCATTCGAGAAAGTTCAGTTGCCTCCTACGAGGTATTCCAAGTTAGTCCTTTTTATTAGTTAGGTTTTTAGTTTTACTAATGGTTGTAGAAACATCAGCCGGACCTGTTATGCTGATAGAACAGTGCTGATTAAAGGAAGTGTGGGAATGCTGCAATGTCTTCTAAACAGATTGGTGTAAGTGAAGGCTATAAATGTAATCTCATAGTAGTGCAAGAAGTACCAGTTTGTGTGTAGCATACAGTACAAGTACCATAATCGAGCAAGTCAATAGCCTCAAGTATTTAAGATATATCATCAGAGGAAAAAAAGAATGAAAGGAAGTAAAAAATAGAATTGATCAAGCTAAAGTCAAAATGATGGAAATAAGAACAATGTCATTAAAACAGACATTTTACAAAAAATGGAAACAACAGAAAATGATGTATACGCCTACTGGTATATGTGATTATAAAAGCTGAGCATTAAACAATAAATTGGAGAGAAGGCTAACATAAATAGAAACCTTGTTTTTATAAAGAGTACTGAAAGTTCCGTGGATCGATACAATTACAAATCGAAGCTTCAGTAAGTCTATTAAGTGGTGTAGTCAATAGAAATTGACTACAGTGGCTCTGTAGTGGTTGCTTTTTTTTGCTTTGACTTCATCCATATACGTCTAAAATACTGTGGTGTAAGCCAAACTTAAATGTAAATATGGCTACGCGCTGCATCCCACCAATCGACGATGAAGGGCTCATGATGTTAACTTTTTAGCATACACAAGAATGATGATGTTAAAATTAATAAACCGTCTCGTAGTTTCATTCGCGCAATAACATATTCTAACCTATCACAGAGCATATGAAATGGATGTCAGTCGTATTCATTCAGTTTGACAAAAAGTACCGTAGTGTTTTGTAATAGGCTAAATAGTGTATTTTGCACATTGACCAAATCGTGAGGGTCTTTTTCAATTTAAATGCAAAGTTTCAAATATTAGGCTACATGGAATAATCTTTCATAGATATTGACGCAAATACACCCGTTGATTGATATTGAATGATTGATTGATTAAAAACACTGAACACTTAATGAATGACAAACATAAGCCACAAGGAAAAAAACAATCAAACTAGATTTACCTGGCGGAAGTATAGTACACAGACCGTCACTCCTCCTGATGGGCTCTGATGTCTCCACGTTACACTCAAGGACTTCAAAAGTACCTGTCAACATCTATGGAAAGGATGAAAAGGAACTCCCATCAAGCTGAGATGACACTAATCTAAAATGTTAGCGTTTGAGTAAACAATGATGAAGTTTTCTAACGTTTTTAAATATTGCAATAAATTTGTTGGTATAGTAACAATATATTGGGGTGACTTTCCCTCTTTTCTATGGAGTATGTCTAGTCAGGGGTCAGGTCCCAAATATAGTATGGCTGTGGATTTGGTAAGTTTAATAAACCTCAGCTTTGCTGACGCACAGTTTTGTTAGTTCCCCTTGCTATGGGGTTTCAGATATGAATAAAGCTGCTTCAATAAATGCTGTCTTCGAGAAAACTTGCAGAGTACCCACACAACACTTTAGGAAAAAATGCATGGTTATTTTGTGGCTAGAGTAAATTATCTTAGTTACATAACCTATGCATTCAATCGAATATGATTTTTTTGTGGCAACTGTAGGCCCAATTTACCGTTTATTTTACGAACTCACAGCATAGGCTCTGTTATAAAAATTCATTGTATGAGTGCTTAGTGTTTGGTTTGTATAGTAATTATAGTGCTTAGTGTTGTTAATGTTTATTGCTGCTGGACTACCCCAATCTGTTTACTTTCGGTTACATAATGTAGTAATCTGTATTTTTTTTAGTTTACACTGGACATATTTTGATTTCTGCAGTTATTATATTGATCTGATTTCCGAAAGTGATATAGGTCATTGTAGCTATATAGGTCATTGTTTTGCTAATACTGGTGATATTCATTTCAAACATCTTATATGAATGTCAATAACAAAATAATGATTACAACTAGAATAGGTCTATCGCTTATAAAACAGCAGTTACCCTCATAAAATTGGTTTGTCGTCCGCATGAACCGACTTTTCCATCAAGGTTAAAGGTCAATTGATTGCCCTCCGTGGAACCATAGAATTCTCCAATCTGTTGAATGTTGAAGCGCGTCTGAAATTCTGTCCAGATATTGGCACGCAAGCCATTTCCAATTGCTAGTTCAATAGTATGGTCGTAAACGCCGTCACTTGGACTCTGAATAAGTATGATAACAATCAAAGAAACAAATAATTTAAACAGTAAATCGCAATTTCAAATATACCTCCACTTATAATAGTTTGCTAAACTTAAAGTAAACATTGTAGCTATGCGTGCGCTAATAAACCATGAATACTGTTGTAACTCCAGTCAATTCTATCGCTACATATTAGTAGACTCTAAATCGATTAAATGGGCGTTTGAAACACATAATTGTCAAAATGGACCACTTTCCACCACTTTTGAAAGATTTTGAGCGACGCCCGACTTTGCTTTCGTCGGGAACATCGGACCCCTCCCCGGGGAAATCCAGGCACCATCCCTGTGCTGTATGATTTAATATAATGGATCACTCTTAAACCAGTTTAAAAATCTTTTTCTCTTTGTAAATTATATTATTATTTTCCAATTTTCGCAGGGGAAAAACTCAATTCCACCAACCTTAGGAGCGTCCAGAAGATAACGGCAGGTCTCCCCAATATATTGGATGATCGTAGCATTGTACTTTCGCACATCGTCCCAGAAATATCTCACGGAGAATTTCTTTCTCAATGCAAGAGTCATACCTGAAAATATGAAGATAAGCAATTAAAATAGGTCCTGTACAAATGGTATTTTGGTAAAACAACCTACGAAAGCTCGTGGCGGCTTCAATGTGAAGAATTGCGTGTGAGTGTTCCATAATTACTACAGCACTCGTAGAAAGGTGACTTATCTGATAAAAACAAAAACCAAAGCATTGGGGTAACCCTCAGCTCTACCTAAAGATGCAATGGGTTCTTAAGAGTGCACCTGAACCAGGTATGTACACTAGACTTCCAGTATTAAGCCCACGTCTCGGCCATTGACTCGTCCAAAAGCGATTTTCCCGAAAAAAATTGCCTTCATCAAAGTAGTAACTTTGCTATGTAAATGTTTAACATAACATATTACGCCATAATCTACCTCGTTAAATTTAAGTACAGTATTACCAGACTGTCTAAGCGCTGTAGTAGTAGTAGTAGTACGTCTTCATGTACATTTATTTTATGTGTATTAAGAATACGTGTTCCTAGAGCAGTATGTTATTTGCTCAGAATTTGTAGGTCTAACGTTACATTTCGATCCTGTATTTGTTTAGCAACCTAGTATAACATCTATAGAGGCGTAGCCTACTTACCGATCCTGATTACGCCCATGAAGCCGATGATATAGCTAGCACTGTGGTACATCGGTAACGGACTGTAAACGACGTTATCTGGGCCTTTATTATAAATAGTCAAAATGTATGATCCACCATGGAGCTTGTTCCACGTAATTCGAACTGGTTTTGGTAGGCCTATAAAACACACAAAATCAATAATATTACCGCGGTAACACCAATAACTATCATAACAATAATAATAATAACCAAAACAACAATGACAATACATATGAAGATGGCAGCGGAGTGAAGATGGAAGGTGTAGACGGCGACAACAACATCAATAATAATAATAACGAGGATGATGATGGTAATACTAGGTAATTGTTTACTATACATTAATTTCAGTCTCAACCAACTACGTGGGTCTCGCTAGTTGGAGTGATGTAACAAAAAAAATCCAGGTGTATAGAGGATTTGAAACAAGACCCGGGATTGAAAGGTAAGCCTAAACCACCAACCTACAGCACCGTTTCATAGGATAGTCATCGTAACAATATAAGAAAACCAATAATAGTATATTGTTTATTAAATAACTTCTGACCAATCAGAAGGAGTTAATTAGGGTATAGCAATACATCCCAAAATACGCACGTTTACGTACGTTAAGTTGGGTTGTTTTGTGTAAAAGAATATGTTTTCCCCTTTTTTTGTTGTTTAGCGTCTCTAAGTTTCTGCAACGACATGCTCTATATAGAGCTCTGTCCAGACTATCAAATTTTATTTGACATAAAACTGTTGTATGCCCATATATGGTCATGATGTGCCTATATATGGTCATGATGTGATGTCATCATGACCATATTTAGGCATGTAACATGTGTTTGTCAAATAAAATTTGATAGTCTGAACAGGACTAAGTCAAGAATTACTGTATACACTATCGCTTTTGTGAGACCTTAGCTTAGTAACAATATCCAACAGTCCATTATAGAATGGAAGTATATGTGATGCTTAAATGAGGCTTAGGAAATTATGTACAGTCTAGATCGGAATAGATCATTCTAGAGTGCCAAACAAATTTAACAACAGACCAATCAAAACAGCGCCAGGAACACGCGCGTGTCTGACAAACATACGTGTTGTCCCTACTGATCTCTACTATAATAGCTGGATTGCTCATTGGCCAATCTTGGTACAAAAAAAGTGAGGCCTCCGATGCCATGTTGGAGGGCCTAAGTGACGTACAAGTTTAGAAAAGTTTCTTTTGGCATTTGTTTAAATTATAGTTAAAAATAACGATTCTTGCAATACTTTTCAATAATAAATTTAAATTTAACGTAGGGATTTTTTCAAACCATCTAACTACTAGACGCGACTGTTTATGCAGTTTTTAAAAGCGCGAGCGAAGTCACGTTGTTATAGGGACGTCGATCCCTAACAACGCAAATAACTTTGCTGCGCTTTCTTAAACTGCATAAAAAGTCACATCAAGTAGATAGATGATAATAATCATTACGTTAAATTCAAATTTATTATTTACTTAAGCCCTCTAACATGGCGTCGGCCTCACTAAAAGCAGCCAATGAGCAATCCAGCTATTATAGTAGAGATCGGTGCTGTTTATGCAGTTTTCAAAAGCGCGAGCGACAAACGCGTTGTTATGTTATATATTGACGTATAAAAAGTCACATCAATAAATAGATGATCATAATCATTACTTTATTTAAATTCAAATTTATTATTAAAAAGATTTGCAAGAATCGTTATTTTTAACAATAATTTAAACAAATGCCAAAAGAAACTTGTCTAAAATGATACGTCACTTAGGCCTCCCAACATGGCGTCGGTGGCCTCACTAAAACCAGCCAATGAGCAATCCAGAGATCAGTGGTTGTTCCACAAACGCACGTGTTCGCGTATGTTTTAACACTGTCGTTTGTGGGACATTAGCAAACAATATCCAAAGGACGGGGCTTAGCGGAAAGGTCTATTAAAGCGTATTAAAGAGAGCACAGGTCCTCCTTCAACTTCCGTTTGGAGATTATGGGTTAATCCCTGAGCATTCTATCCTTTATGATAATTTGAAGGATATTATTCAACCTTTGATTGATCTTGTGTTAATTTTTTTTACTTTAGCACCATTAATATTTAACATATTTGTAATTTTTAAAAACAATGTGTATGTAACCGGTGGTTGAAGTGTGCCCTCACTAATCACAAGGAGGTATTTTTGTTCTCGATAATAATGAGCACCGTATTTATGCGCTAATAATAACAAAAATGAAAACAAATAGAACGGTAAAAGCAGGGAGATGTAAAAAAGGTAAAAGTAAGCAATAAGATAATAGACTCCTCGTAGATGTGTACAAGAGAGGGAACATTGATTCAATTTTCAAGACATATGGCGTGGTAACGGAAAAGGCGTATTAAAACATATCGGAAACATCTGTTGAACACAGGAATTGTATATCGTTTGAGTTAATGCAGATGTAGTTAGTTGTTTATGCATAATAACAAGTTGATGGCTATTTTTATCATTGTTATTTCAATATCATTTATTATTTTGATTTGGCTTTTGTTTATTTTTTTAAAATCCAACAGAAAGTAACTCGCCTACAGGATGGAATGCTGCTTTATGAACTACCGTAGTTGCATTATGAGGCTTAGGCAGTAGAGCTGTTTTTAGTCGTGAGAAAAAAGCCCTACTATGACAGAGTTTGAAACTAGAATTTGGGTTACAAAAGCAAGCTTGATACCAAATACAAAACCGCAGGATTTGGACACACTAATCTACAGCTCCACAAAGTTCATTGAGTATAGTGTGTTCAGGTCTATGTTGCTACGATTCAAGTTCAGTGTTCAGTGTACCTGTAATGTGAAGGTTGCATTTGCTTGTTAGCCTATATCGTTTATAATATCATACTAAATCAAGATTTCGCTGCGGAACGTCTACCGTTTAGACGTAAACGTTTTTATAATTTGATGTCTAACAATGTTACGTCACGACGATAGCGCATAATACATACATATTGTGGTTCCCATACCTGTGGTTCCTGAGGTGTAGATGTACAGGGCAGAATCACTTAATTCCAAGCCATCCCGAAGGTGTCTTGACGGTCTATGATCAGGCTGTGACTGTACATCCCACGAAATATGTTTCATTCGAGGTGTCACAGGGTGCTCTACCTGTTTACCGATCAACCATACCTGTATGCCTAGCCCATCTAATCCAGATTCGATATCGGTTAGTGCATCGATAAGACCTGCGTCTGAAAAGTAAATTTATACGTATATGGAAACGCAATTTATTATAAATATTGGTTAAATTGTGCTCAGAGGCTCATCGACGATGATATTACGAGATATCAAAGACGTATAAAAAAAACGATGAAGGTGTGTCAGTTTAATATACTTTTTAACTAGAAAAATTAGGGTTATTCTAGTATGAACGCGTCATTTAAACAATCTGCACAGCAAATCTTTGATGATAGTGACGATGATGCTAATGACGATGATATCTAATTCAACGGACAAGGTATCTACACACATTTAACTATAGAGTTGTACCATGAATGCCATCAAGAACAGATAATTGCATAAAGCGACATCGTGATAGTGATGATGATGATGATGGCAATGACGATTGGCCCTAAATGATGATGACTATGATGATGATGATGACGATGACGAAATGATGATGATGGCTACAACGACGATAATGTTATTGACGATGATTATGGTGGATGATGACGATGTTGTTGATGGTGATGACGATTAAAAATAGGTGTGTTGCCCAAGCACAGTGACAATTTGAGAACATGATAAAGCTTCATTCACACCTGTTCCGTTCCGCAGAACGGAATAGGTGTGAACGAAGCTTTAGTCGGACAGTAATCTGTTCTAACTATGCCCATTGATAAAACAAAAATGGTTCTACCCAGATTCTTTAGAATTAAAATACGGTCTTGCTGGGCAACACAACGTTGTTGAACAGTGATAAATGCTTTGCAGACTGTGGGTCAATACTTACCAGCTTCACAGATGACAATAGAAGCTTTGCTAACTTTAATACAATGCAGTAATGCATTTGACCTCAAATTGAAATTAATCAAGGCACCGGTAATGCCTAATTTGCCAAGACCTAGGCTGGTCCAGCATAATTCTGGTCCGTTATGCATCAACACCGCTACAACATCTTTCACCTTCAAAGTACCATCCTTACGGACATAGTGGGCAAATCTATTGGAGAGCTTATCTACTTCTTCATATGTCAATGACTTGTCCTCCGATAAAATCAATGGTTTCGTCGGATGTCTATCAACGCTTTCCATGAACAAGTCTATCACGGTGTAGCATGTTTTTGCAAACTTTTTCCTCTCTAGTATCACGCCAGCGATTAGTCGAATGAATTGGAGGTCCGACAATATGGTGGGGAAGCGTAGCCTTATGTAGATGCCAGCAGTTACAACTACAGTGGTAACGATGCCAGCCGCAGCTACAACAGAAGCCATGACTGATTCAACGTTTCACAATCTGCAGATAAATTTTAATATACAGTGAACAAGCAATATAAGAAAATGCATGGTACCGTACCGTACACTCGTAAAAGAAAATATAGAGATGGATGAAAATTTAAATGTGTTAAAGACCTCTATAAGATAGGCTTTTATCGGGGGAAAATAGATTGTCTCCCTATGAGATGTACGAAATTCATTACCAACAATGCAACATAACGCGGGCAGGGGTGGGGTTATGTTTGTTTTATCACACACGAGCTTTAAATTTACAATCTAGAACGTTGTGAACGTCGCATAGATGTCTTTTATATTTATTTCCTTCACATCCAACAGCAAGTACACTTGCCACTTACAGGATTGAACCATGCTATATAAACCAAGTCTCGTATTGAGTCCTACGGAGTGAATTTGTCTTTATTCGTGAGGAAAGTCCTGCTATGATGACAGGAATTGAACGTTATTTAGTTGGAAATTACGTAATAAAATGTGTAGTTAATGTTCTACAAACGCCTGAGCAAAGTAAAATTGTTAACTGGGTTGTGTGTGAGGTGTGGCATTTTGAGTTGTTTTTTTAAATCGTATTATATAAAAAGTCAGCAAAAATGGAATTAATTTTTAAAATTAGCTATAAAACACTAGACCTCTCGAGTAAATCACTTCTATTAACGAACACACTCAAAACCTCGTCGATAAAATCACGGACAATGGTTGTGTTTAAGCCTTGACATGGATTATCTCATTGTAAAAAAGAGTTATCGGAAATATATATATATTTTTTTTTATAGATATCCGATTTATCGATATAAAAAAGTGTCATCCAAAAATGATGATTAGAACCATTTGACACGTGGCCAGGCCTAGTCACATGAATAGGCCTACTTAATCGCTAACGAGGATCTTTGAATTTCTACAGGATTTTCTTGGACCCTGGGTGCTGACTTATGAGTGAACCTTTCCGTTAAGCCCCGTCCATTGGAAATTATTTCTTAACTTAATTCCCACAAATTGACAGCGTAAACAAGTGTGCTTGTGGGACGTGCGCGTGTTCTTGGTCCAGCGTTCTTATTGGTCAGTTCGTAAGTTTGATTGACACTCATTAAAGGTCAATGAGCAACCAATTGAGGCAGAGACGAGCAGAATATTATCACTGCTGACCTATTTGGTAGTATTCCGGTTACCTGCAATTTTGAGTGTGTGATATTCAACGGTAGGCGTAGATTAATAAAATTAATGTTACCCAATTTCTCATTCAAATGTAAAAATACTTTGCTGAATGGAGCTATAGCTTATCTTTCAAATCCTCAGGTCGATTCAATTGCTTCCTGTCCAAGTTACACGCGATTCTGTTTTCCCACGACAAAAAAAAAACAAAAAAAAAATCTGGCATGAGATTTGGTTTATGTGAACATCTTGTGTGCATTGTAGCATTGTATAATATACGGTAATCGTCTTGTGTGGATTTTGAACAAACCTTCCCTTATTCAGTAAACCCATCCATTTTCACCGGGCTTCTCTATTCTCATTTCCCCATCTCTCATATGCGTTAATTATTTAAATCAGTCGCGGCGTCTTCTTTTCAAAATATTAAGCCTAATAATATCGCATATTATTATTAGGTTGTTTCTTATCATTATTTTCAAATTTAGATAGGAACAATTTCATTGTTTATATTTTTGATACGATGCATTTTAATTCACATTTGAAGTTTGACTACCAACTTCCATTAGTTGGTGCCTAATATTTCCTACTGGAAATCGGCTACTACATTATTATTTATTATTATTATTTATTATTTATTATTTATTATTTATAATTTATAATTTATAATTTATAATTTATTATTTATTATTATTATTATTATTATTATTATTATTATTATATCTCGTAGTGCATGACCTTATGGAAGCTATTACAGTGGCGCAGATATCATATTTTTAGGGTGGGGGCGGAATAGCTTGAATCTGCTCTGGCTGGGGACACGGGACGCTTAGGGCCCGTTCATACAACACACCAATACACGGATTATTAGTGATGTGTATTGTATAAACGCAATAGTGATTCCGTGTGATTGCAAAAATCTGGAAAAAAGGCGACTTCAAATAATCCCCAAATTTGGTGGATTGGGATTCATACTTGTGCATGCAGGCAACATCAAGTGGTAATTAATCAACTGACCAAGTCGAGGTCACCAAGAAGAATACAGGTTTATCATGGAAAAACTTTTCTGCATAGTTAATTTAAGCAATATATTATGCAGGATATCATCAATTAAGATGTTCAAGTTAAACATAAGAGAGTAATCTTGAAATTTTGTCAGGATTATAATGTTCGTTTGTAAATTGTAGCTCTATTGTGAACAAAAGGCAAATTAAGGTAGAGTTTATTAATTTCCACTGTTCTAGTGGGAGACCGCTGTATAGGGATAGGCCTATAGACTGTAGTATTTAGAAAACAATGGGCTGGAGGAAAGTACATATACAGTGTGCACCTTTCAGCATTTGGGGATAAAAACTAATTGTTGATTTGACCACACACCCCACAATGGAATAGTATTTGCTGTAACACGGTTTCAAAATTATAAGTATAAATGAGTGTCTTTGGTGGAACGGCCTCCAGCGGTAATTAGTGTTCAATGACACAACACCGTGTTCAATCCATGGTCAAAAAAATCCCGCAATATCGATTTCTGAAGACAAAAAAAAAAATCTGACAAATTCTAGATAATTAAACAAAATCCTCACAGAAAATGCTTTTGACTCACTGAGATCTGGAACAACTCATAATGTTTGTAGGAGAATAGTCTAAAATTGTGTTTCTGTGAGTAGATAAGCTAGAAAATGTATGATATACAGTACTTAAATGAATGTTTGTGGGTCTGTAGAGATAACTGTGAAGTTAATAAGGCCTACTGACACGTAACACACGGTCAGTAGTCCTAGACAATTGAAATGGAGGTGAATTTATGCCTGTTTATGTACACAGCAAAAGTATTGTACAGGTATTTCGCATTGTACTGTATTCTACATCGGAAAAGGCGACTCTTGTCGTGACCATTGTCCCGGCCAATTGTACGGTATTCCCAAGGCTGGTGAAACGTTCAATGAGGCGTGGTCATGACTGCTGAGCACTATCATGATCCTTCTTTTTATATAGGCCTACTCCAACTCCATGGAATGTATTGTATTTGTATTGTTTCTTCGCCTGAATAAATAATAATACTAACAGAATATTCTGTCTGATATAGGCCTACTCATACAGTTTTCTCCAGCTTATTATTTACTACAGTGAAAAACTGATTAATGCTCTTTTAAGGAGTATCAAGG